TTGTACAGGGACCTTCCAGTTTCCGGATCCACAGGGAAATCGATTAATCTGGAATCGAGCTGGGTAGGACCACAAGGGCGGCAAAGCTCTCTCTCAAGAGTTTTTAACACTGCTGCATTACCAGGTCTCGAACACGAGACCACTGGTTAAGCTGGAAGAGACCCAAGTCATCTCATCCAAGCGCTCTTGGGTATTCATTTAAATTATTTAGCAGGATATATATGATATGATTTATATTGGTTTTATGAAGATTGCATAGCCAAAATATAAAGAAGATTGTAAAACGTCTTTCTTGATAATCTATAGTATTATTATTTTAAGATTGTAAATTACTTAATTTAGAGAAGGGAAAAATTGTGTACATGTATTCAATCAATTTCAAATTTATATTCTAGAGGATTAAATAAAACCCAAGTTTTTTTAGAATGTTCAAATCCGATTTCATTTTGAATTTCAAATAAATATTATTTGACTCTATTTTATGTTTAAGATAAATCTGAATTAAAGAAGTGGTAGCCAAATGATAAGAAATTTTTAAATATTAATTTTCAATTTGAAATTGGGCCTGATTTCAATGCAATCTGATTTTTGTAATAAACATGATCTATTGCAATTAGGTAAATATACATGTTATAGTATCTTGCCTCAATCAAAATTCTCTACTTTATGATAAATAATTTTTTAAAAATAAAAACTGAGATAATTTATACTTTTACAAAACTGTACTGTCGAAGTTTAACAAAATTAACTCGATTTCTATGCAATCTAATTTTTTTAATAAACAATTGATTTGTTGCAATTAGAAAAAGATATATGTGATAGTATTTTGCCTAATTCGAAATTCCCGATTTCATGGTAATCATTTTGTTAAATGAATTTAAGGTGCATATATAGCTGATTGATTTTTTGAGAATAATTTAATAATAAAATTCAAAAACTTTCCAAAAATAGAATGCAATAAATATTGGTTGACTTTTTCGTACTATTTTTGGTAAACAGGTTATATATATATATATATATTATTTATTTATTTATTTATTTATTTATTTTGGTACGCAAGACATTATCAGCTAATTTATAAGGTCCAAAAAAAATATCGACCAGTTTGAACGACCTTACATCCGTTCATGTCCAGATCAAATATCTGAAAAATAGTGTCGGAGTGGTCTCGATGTAGAGCCTTCAGAAAGTGTATTAAGGCACCAACAATAGAAATATAATTTGTATGTAAGCAGTAGAGTGTAGAGTTTGTGTAAGATTTTATTTTGGTAAGAAATTCTGAAAATGACATTTTGATGTTCTATGCAAGCAAGTAAAATAAAAAGAGAAGATCTACTCTCTCTCTCTCTCTCTCTCTCTCTCTCTCTCTCTCTCTCTCTCTCTCTCTCTCTCTCTCTCTCTCTCTCTCTCTCTCTCTCTCTTAGGTCTAGATTGTATTTTATTTGGTTTGGCAAGTTTTTCATAAAAGATGTTATTTCTATAATGTTTGTTTTTGTTTCGTAGGAGATCGTGCATTCAAAGGAAGAGGAAGCTAATCGAGGTACAATGGACGTGAAGATCTCGACTTCCATACATGAAGATCTCAGTCTTATTTGGAAGTTTAAACAAGAAAGGAAATACACTCCAAAAGGAAGAAAACTTGAAGACTCATTGCCTTGAGGAGATTGTATATACATCTACACAAATACTCAATTAAAGGTTGTTGCGATTATCGGCGTTCATCATATTTGAAGACTTCTCTGAGTGTTTGTGAGATTTGTTTTTCAAGTTCTTTTGTAAACAGTTTTTTAGTGTTCTTACACCACTAAAGAATTGTGTTTTTTTTTTTTTAATACAAACACTTTATACTTAGAGATTAAGTATTGGTATATTTGGCAGGGATCTACGGCTAGTTTAAAGTCCACACGGGTGTGGCAAGAGCATTTGTTAATAGGTTCAGGTATAGTGTTGGCTAAACTAGAAGGGAGTTTGAGTCGTATAAGTCCAACTTGTACTTTGTATGCAAACCGAGCTATTAATGAAAGAGCACTGGCAGATAGTGGGATAATCCCCGAAGAGATTTTTAAGTGAATTGCTTCCGCGTTTATTTCTGGTGCTCGAACATTATTGCGTACTCTATTTACTCCCAGTAAATGTTTCGATTAGCACAAGAGAAGTGTTCCTGTCTAATCACAGGACAAAGATCCAATGTCCTTTGGCTGGACATCATGAACCACGACGACTTATCGATTACGCGTCCTCCGTATCTGGATGGATCTAGTTATTTGTATTAGAAATCCATGATGACGATATTTCTACGATCTTTAATAAGAGGCACTTGGCAAATTATTGAAATCGGTTGGACCTTGCCTATGATGGAGAAATATCCTCCCGACAAGAAGGAATCCTCTTCAACCGATGCAACCCCTCTCAAGCTAATTGAAAAGCCAAGAGACCAATGGACTGACAATGAAGAACAAGAAAAAAAAAGCTAATTTCTGCGTTCTCTATGCGATAATATAGGCAATTATTCCTACATGTCACAAGATGATCATTCAGTGTTCCGCCGCATGCGATGCTTGGAAAATTCTCAAGACCCAGTTCGAAGGGACCAATGCAGTCAAGTCCTCCTCTAAGCTACAATGAATTTCCGCAGAACTTGATGAGATTAGGACGAAGGAAGATTATACTATGGATATATACTATAACCGCTTTTGTGATCTTGTAAACCAAATCACTATGCTTGATGAAGAGGTCTCTGAGGCAAAACAAGTACAAAAACTTATAAAAACTCTTCCGAAAAGGTTGCGCAAAAAGATCACTGCATTGGAAAGCTTCATGCAAATGCAACCTCTGGGGATAGATGATCTACTTGGAGATTTGCGTATTGCTGATACCATCTATGGCTTTGATAATGTGAAGAGCAAAGACATTGCCCTGAAATCCATGTTCAAATATCAACTGCAGAAGAGAAGACTCTGGCGAAGAGGGTCTTGATGTTGAGGGCGTTGACCAAGGCCCTGAGTGTTATTACACGCAACTTTTCCCAGCTGAAGAATCAATAGAAAAAAGTTTCGAGGGAAGAAGTCGTTTGACTCAAACAAGAACACCTTTAAGAAGTCTTGTGAGTGACGTTCGAACATATAAGCTCCAAAGAACCAAAATCAAAACCAAGGTGTTGAGAAAGATCAATGTCTAGAGTGAAAAGGATTTGGTCACTTTCAGGCTGATTGTACACACTTCAAGAGGAAGAACCAAAACTACCAAACTACGTGGGACGACGAGGATGATGAGGACACAAACCAAGAAGAATGATCTGAGTACTCTAGCAACTTTTCTTTATGTCCTCTCAACAATTTCATGTGCTACACCTTCTTTGTCCATCTCACCGATGTGAATTCTAAGACGGGTTCTTACACTCATATTGCTGGGGACTCAACACCTGAAGAATTTTTTGACCCTGCGGAGGAAGATCTTGTCATGCACAAGTATGCCATTTAGAAGTGCATCAAGGCTGGTAAAGTTATCAAGAACTATCATAATCAGATCGAGATATTAAAGGCGTTGGAACATCAATCTGAGGAGTACCAAAATAAAATCATGTACCTGAGGAGTGAGCTTCAAAAAACAATGATGGAAAATGTTGAGTTTAATAGAAATCTAAGAAAGTAAGATGTTGATACTAACAAGCAAGAAAATGATCTCAACGATTGTCTGGCGAAGTTTGCATTGTTGGAACACTCTGACAACTGAATAAACATATATTTGATGAAAAAGGCTTTATCATTGAATCTTTGCGTAACGAGATATTTTCCTTGCGGAATGGTTTTAGTGAAATAAATGCTAATGTGATTGCCTTAAAAATGAACTCGGAAGAGTGATGGAAGAACGTGTGACCTTGCAAGATAACTTTTCCACCACTGAGAATGAGAAGAGACTCACCAAGAGTGAAAGTTGGTTAAGATGGTGAATAATCCAAAGACTTTGTTCAACAAAGTATAAAAGCTGAGTAAGCAAATTGGTACTACAGACCTAAATGATGATTCTAAGTCAATGAAACTTAAAGGTAAAATTTATAAAGCTGGTACATCACAAGGTAAGTGTACCCCATTTTTCGTTAGAGAGGGGTTGGGTACAAAAAGTAAGCAAGGTAAGGTAAATTCTGTTCAAGAACATCACAAAGTGTTTGCCA